CAAAATAAACTGTATTCGTTTTTTGTTACGTAAAGGATTACTTACATCCACAGTATCTACATATTATTGTAGTTTTACTTAAATTGCACCTGGCAAATGTTGTACTGAATTAGAATGCGAACAACTTCATCAACTTCGATTTCAAATGGATTATTTCTTTTATGAAAGTAGCAATTACTGACCATGTACTGTTTAGTTTCCACGTTATTAACATCTTTTATAAATATAATTACATAAAATGTCAAAGAAATTACACTCACACACATATATATTAATTCAGCTAGGTGGCGTCTAATCCCACCTGACCTTTGAGACGGTTAGTACAGCAAACAGGTGATAAGATGAATGATAGTAGGTTGTATTTGAAGAATAGTTCGTAACTTCATAGGTAGGCGGGTATTTTATTCATTATTTGGAAGTGAATTTATGACGACTCACCTTATTATATAATTAAATAAGACGTTTTAACTGTAAGAGTAACATTTAAAATTCTAATTCAATTCAATTCTAATGCGTATTACTACTACTAGTAGTAGTACTACTACTAAGACTAAGACTTGTAAGAGTTAACTAGTCTATAGTATTAAATATTATTATGTTTAACCTACTGTCACACAATTTCACTTTCAGTAACTGAATGTTACTGTTAGGATAAGTTAACTGATATTGATAGTCTCATTTAATATTTATCTGTTCATTAGGCTTGCAATGGAAGTTGTACTAACATTTGATAAATACGTACTAGTGTGGATGGAGACCCATCGGTGACACAGTTAACCTACTTAAGTCACAATGTTGAGGTGTTTAAATCTTCACAAATAAATATAGATATCATGTGTCTTACTTAATTTTGATGATTTGCTTAATGACACTAATAGTAATACTAATGAGGTTGCAAACAACCACTAGAAAGTTTTTTCTGTTTCATTTTCAACCAAAAAAAATTAATCATATTTGTTCTGAAGCATTATTGTTTGATTTTGCAAAGAAAATAGTTGAAAGGACAGCAAGGCCTTACTTTAAAGTTTAACATTTGGTCATGCAACTAAATCTTGCAATGAAGCTTTTGTAATTTGAAATTCATCATTTGACAGTTTCTTTGACATATTGTATACATAAAAAAATTATGGCATGTTTTCGCATAGTGTCATTGAATTGTTATTTAATAGTGATTGCCATTTTGTAATTATTTACTGCACCTTTAATTAGAGAATTTTTATTTCATATTTCTTACTATAATGTAATACTATTTCTTCTATTACAGTTCTAGCATATTTTGACTGCATTTCATCTAGTTATCTTGCATGTAGTAAATTTAATATTTTTATGAATTTAATTTATGAATATTGAGAAAGCATGCAACATGCAAAGAATGATTAAAATTGTTAATCATTGAATTCATGAAAGTTATAAAACTATGAGTAAGAGGTATTATCACAGGTCAAAAAGTAAAAAAACAACAACTGAGATTTCATATTTAAGTTGTTAGCAAAGAGAGGGTTGTTATATGAATTTAGTTAAAAGTAAATAATTATTTTCAACCAATTAATTTAAGCTACTGTTTTGTCAAGTAATAAATACTCTTTGTAAAACATATAACACAAGAAGATACAGGAAAAGATAGACATTGAAAATATTTAAGAAAGCTGCCAATCATTGAATGACTTTGTAAATACAGGGTTTGTATATCAAAAAATTCTAAAAACACTTTCTGTATGAGATAGGTAACTGCTCTTATACACGTAAATGAAATAGCTGGTTAATAATTAAAGTAACAATTCCTTTAACAAACCTTTCCATTTTATATATACCTCTCAAACATTTAAAAGCAGTTTCCATTTTTTTTGTCAAAGTTTCAGTATGTGAAGTTAGGCTTTAAAATAAACTTAATAGTTGGTTTTACGAGTTTGCTTGAAGATTAGTATTCTTATGTTAAAAATTGTCATTTACTGCACTTGGTAGAAATTAAACTTTGTAAGAGCAACTAATGTTAGAAGCAGTGCTTTTTTATATAACTTAATATGTAATGAAAGTAAAATTTAACTGTCACTTGTTTAATTTTTGTATTTATTAAATCCCATAACAATTTCATTGTTGAAAACTTCAGTTATTACATTTATAAAAATTTCTTTGTGCTAATTCACAAATAAGCAGTTTCATAATTTTCAGAGTACAGTAACTAAATAGTTTTGTAATGATACTGGAAATTGAGTTATAATAGCTTCAGCAGATTTTAAGGATCTGCGAAGGTTCTTGCATATCTGTTGTTAAATTCAAGTCTACTTAAAAACTAAATGTACTTTGTTTTGCTCATTTAAATGTAATTAAAATTTAATCATTCCTATATTTGTTATAGTTTTTAGTTAAAAAAATTACTTTTATTATTTAATAACTTTTGTAGGTAATAATCATAGGTGTACGTAGTTGAACAGAAAATAGAAACCATGCCGACAGGGTTAAGTAGCACAGAAAAAGGGAAAAACCATTCAGATGAAAGACATAGCTTCATTGATAATTTAACAGATAGTCAAAGTGAAATGAGTAAAACAGCTGAAGAAATGTGAGTTTCTTTATATTTTTTTTATTTTGTTTGTCATTATTTGTTCATAAAGCTTAGTTATATTGTTATGAAGATTCTTTTTTGTACTTGAAATTAAATAAAGGATGTATTTTTTACTAGTACAAACTCAAATTTCTTCTTTCATCAGCTCTATTTCTATTACATATACTTTGGTGAGTTACTCTGAACTTTATAAATTTGTTCTAACAAGGTTTTGCTGTATACATTTTAGAATGCTTTAATGTATTTTTATATGCTTAGTTAAAAAAATTTACAAATTTGGACAGAAGAAAATGCATTAAACTGAAAATATTTTGATTACTTTGCGTCCAGTGTATGTGATACATATGGTTAGTTTGAGTCAAAAATTAAAAATATTAGTGTAGGTCATGTTTTAATGTTGGACTTGTGTGTATATAAAATAATTGTTAGATTAAAATGAAGTTTTAACCTCCTTTTTTGGAGAGGGGGGGAATTTGTTATAATGTTTCAGTTTTGCTGTATAGGTTTCAAACCACATAAGCAACTTCTGTATGAAGTTAAAGTAGAGATAAGGTTTGAAAACTATGTTGTGAATAAACAATATTTGCATTGTTTGTAATTTATCTAATATATACTAGTTTTTAAAGAAGCCATTCATATTACTTACTTTGCTCAAATCTACCAATATGTTCCATTTTACCAAATATAAAATTTTGTAGATTTAATATATGTATTTTTTCTTCACTGTTTTGACATATTTGAGTGATTCTGTGTGTTTTAAAATAAAGATCCATAGGAGACAGCTCAGCAGGATGGCAGGGTGTGTATAGGCCAACAACTGTAACAATAAAATATGAACGAAAGAAAGGATTTAGCAAATACAAAGAATCTTTAAAACATCTTCTACCAGTACGAATTAGAACAGGGTAAGTGAAATTGTAAAGTAAGTGTATATCGTGAATTTGGTTTTTACAATATTGATACTATGGACATGTAACCATATGCCATGTCTGGATTTTTATAGCAATTCCTCAGAAATAACTACTGACACCTCTTATTTGTCTCGCTTTCTACTAGCATGTTTTAAAGTGATTTTCATATTAGTGAACTTTTCTGATTAGGGGGGCCAGTCGTGTTAATTTTCGCTTTAATGCAGTTTTGAAATAGAAAATGGGACTCTCCAACACAGTTGCTTATATGTGAGATAAACAATATGCTCAGTTTATCTCATGGTAGTATCATTTTATGCAGTAGTATGGCTCTTATTTTCAGGTTTGTTTAATGTTTTATTTACTTCTTTATCATTTGAGTATTTAATTAATACTGTAAAAGAGGTTTAAAAGTTTCAGTGTCCAGAAAATATTTGGTCAGGAATGTATACTCTACCTTATTACATGTATTCCTATGGGAAACTTATTTTCATTTGGTGCATTTTTGATTTGCACAGCATTTTTTCAGGAATGCTTTCACCATGCTAAATGGGGATACTGGAATTTGTAACTGAATGTTACAACTATGAACTGTTATAGATCTTATTACATTTCGTTTATAAAGATATTTATTCTGTTTTAGGTGTTATTTTGTGTCATTGATTAAATAAATGGTTGTAGATGAGCTTTAAGAAGTAAATGTCATTTCACTATTATATATATATATATATATAAACAGTTAAAGATCAAGTATATGAATTAATGTTATTGTTCATCTGCACTGTTACATCAAACTGGACATCAAGATTGTATCTTTTAATTGATATCAAAACAGTGTATATCTATTTCTGGCTAAATACTAAGACTAACTTTATACTACAGGATATTAAAACTTTACATTGGTATTACCATCTGTCACCTCACATAAGGATTGAATATATAAAATGTATAAAGATACTTTATATGAGTGAATAGGGTCTACTTTCTTATTAATTATAACTAGTGAGCAAGAATTTATGGAAAATATATAACATGGGTTTACATAATGCATTAGGATTGAGGTTATATCATTAAGTTCGTGTGTGTGTGTATGATTATACTTTTAAATGTCTGTAACTTTAAATAATCTGTTTTTTTTAATAGTTATTTCTTAAAGGTTATATGCTACTTCTGTGATAAAGTTTTCTCATAGATAATGTACAACACAAAATATTCCCTACTTTGCAAAGTTATTTTGGCTTAACATATTTTGTTTACAATTTCTCAAGACCTGGAACTATGATGCCTGTGGACCAGACAGGATGCATTGCTTTCTCATTGTTCTCTTGGATTACTCCTCTTATGTGGAGAGCTTTTCGTAGGGGTCTCACTTCTTCAGACATGTACCAGTGTTCTCCAATTGATGGCTCTCGAGCTAATGGGGCAAGGTTAATGAACTTCAGATTGCTTTTGTCATAAATTGAAATTAAAATTCAGAGAAGACTTGTATGTCATTTTATGTAAAATAACAGAGGATGTATATACAAAATAAAAAAGTAACAGAAAATATATATAATATTAAGAACAGTAACAGATGTAATGAAGCATTAAAAATCTGCAAATATGTAACATCATAATAACAGTTACAGAACATACAAAGCATTAAAATAGTGTCATAAGGACAGCAATAATAGATGTGCATATATTTGTCTATCAAGGTTCAAGACTTACAAATGTATGACTAGCCTCTCAGTGGTCAGTCTGTAGATTTATAACACTTAAAATCAGGTTTTGACACATTTTGTGGGCACAGCACAGATAGCCAATTGTGCAGCTTTGTGCTTAACAAGAAACAATTAAAAAGATAACTATTCAGGAAAATTGAATAATAAGGTATGATAATATAATGAGCAATGCAATGAATGAAATATTGTATTTTGGCTTTTGTCAAATATAATTTTAAGATATTACACTAGATTTCAGTAATTGTCTTAACCTAAACCTTCAAGTTTTTTATTGACATAATAAATATATGTTTTATTTATTATTTTATTTACTTCCTTAGATTTTCCTCTCATTGGGATGAAGAAGTTAAGATTAAAGGACTCCATGCAGCTTCACTCTCGAGTGTTATTTGGAAGTTTATCAAAACTCGAATTATCTTTGCCTGTCTTGCTTATGTTTGCTGTCTAGGTTTTGGTTTCCTTGGGCCAGTAAGTAGCACAATATATTTTGTTGTTTTTATGTGAGAAATGCATATTTACATTCAAAAGTTTAATCACGTTTTTGTAACTATCAGATCTTATTACAGTCACTACTTACAAAAAAGATTTTTTCAGTTTTAGATGTTATTTTTGTGTGTCATTAATTAAATATATTGTTGTAGATGAATTTAAAAAATAGATTTGTCATTTAACTTTATTAGATGTATAAACAATTAAAGATCAAGCATATATATATATATATATATATATATATACACACACACACACACACACACACACACACACACACACACACACACACACACAC